CTGGAAACTGGCCCGGGGGCTGCCCCTCAGCACTGACCCTTCTCCTGCCACCCTCCCCAGGCATCTACGTCTGTGCCAAGTGTGGCCATGAGCTGTTCTCCAGCCGTGCCAAGTACGAGCACTCGTCCCCCTGGCCAGCCTTCACCGAGACCCTCCACGAGGACAGCGTGGCCAAGCGCCAGGAGCGCCCGGGGGCTCTGAAGGTGGGGCTGCTGCAACCCTTGGGACCCTCACCCCACGGGCTTTTCCTTTTATTCACCAGCCTGTCTTGCTGAGAAAAACGGTTTGCTGTCAAACCCTCTCCTTGCCTTTCTAGGTGTCTTGTGGCAAGTGTGGCAACGGGCTCGGCCACGAGTTCCTCAACGACGGGCCGAGGAGGGGCCAGTCCCGCTTCTGAATATTCAGCAGCTCGCTGAAGTTCCTCCCAAAAGGTGCAGGCTGAGGCTTGGTGGCTGGTTGGGCCTGGGGAGTTGTTTTTTGGGGAAGCTGCCGACAGCTGGGCTGGGCTGGGGGTGAGGTGTGGCTTGCTGGGTGTGAGGTGTGGCTCTCAGCGGGGTGGCACTGGCTGTTTGGATGAGTTGAGGAGCCTCCTGCCTCCAAAATCAATCTCAACGTGCATCATTCTGCTCAGCTGGCAGCTCGGCAGCAGCTCCCTGACCTCCCACTGGGAAATGGGGAGCGTGCTGGAGCTCCTGGAGCAGCTTCAGGTCCCCGTGGCTCTGAGGGTGGCTGGGTGCTGGCGGTGCCAAGCGAGGGCAGGGAGCTCCTGCTGTGGCAAAAACGGGGCTGGGAGGTGCCACTTTGCTCTTTGGGGGAGCTGCTGGGAGCTCTGGGTGTTGCAGCTGCCCCGTGAGGGAGGTTTGGGCTTCTTGCCATTGTGGTTATGGGGTCAGGAAGAGCTTTGGGAGGCCAAGTTCAGGGCAGTGCCCTGGCCACGACTCGCTGTGTGCCTGTGGTGGTGGTGAGGTGTTAGCTGTGCGTAGTAAATAACTGAATAAAAGGGGCTGGGAGCTCTGGGGCATGAACCATGAGCCCTGATTTGTCCTCCTCCTCTTTTAGGCAAAGCAGACACGGACCTGAAGGAGAAGTAAGCGAGCTGCTTTACTTGGCACACTGCTCTTGGGCTGACCCTGTGTCCACACCTCGGGGTGCATCGTCTGGGGAGGGGGCACTGGGAGCAAGAAGAGCCCTGAAGAAGCTCCTGGATTCCCTGGGCTGGTTCCAACTCGGGGTGCCAGGAGGAGCACAGGGGAGGAGAGGGGGAAATGGGGGTGCTGAAGCTCTGTGTGCTTGCTGGGTGGTGGGTTGCATCACCTGGAGGTGTTTCGCACAAACTGGGGTGCTGCAAAGGCTCCAGCTCTTCATTTTCCCCAGCCTCTGGTTCTCCCCAGCTCCCTCCTCTCTGCCAGGAGCAGCGACTAGCAGTCTGTAAAGCAGCTCGTGTGCCCGTGGTCCTGCCTCTGCTGAGCTCTGTGGCCGTTTCATGTTGACTTCAGCCGAGCCAAGACACTCTCCAGCTTGCAGCTGGGAGGGGAGGGCTCTGACGTGGCACTGATGCCATCCAGAGTCACCCTGCTGGCGTTTCCAGGGAGTCACGCTGGATTAGCTGAGGTCAGAGGCTGGGTTAATCTCTGGTGCTATTCTGGGCTGGGATCGTGGTATGAATTGTCCTATATAAACCCTGCCAGGGTGCTAGGGCAAGGATGGTTTTACGGTCCCGCTAGACCAGTGTCCAGGTATTTCCCCCTCTGCCCATCCTGCACACAGTAGAGACAGTTCCAGATTTTTCACGTCCTCTGGGCTTGATTCTGACTTGGCCTTACACCAGATTCATCACTGTGCTGTTGACTCCAGTGGCACTGATGGTTCCTCCTTGCTCTGCACTGGTGCAGGGGGAGGTCAGCGTGGGGCCCGTGGGCTGCACTTTGCACAGCTCAGGCTTTAGGAGTCACCTCTGCATTCCCTCTGCACTCTGAAGGGCTCTGACACCCATTTCTCCTTAGTTCAGCATCTGATTCGTGGCCTTCCCTCTCTGTCCCAAACCCAAATCCTCCGAAATCAATACACCAGGGTTTCTGAAGGCAGCAGCTCTCGTGCAAGGCGTGGGTGGGTGGGTGAGGCTGTGCTCAGGGGCACCTCAGAGGCTTTTCTCTGCACGTGTTTTGCCTCAGTCCCACTGTTAGAAGGGCACCAGTACCAAGTGCAGCACGCCAGCTCAGTACCTGCAGCTCACTGCTGCTCCTGTACCTCTTTGGATACTGCAAATAAAACACTGATTCACTGTGGTGGAGAAATCACCTCTTTTGTTTTAAAAGCACTGTTGATGGCACCCTGATGCACCTGCCCTGGGATTCCTCCTCTGCTCAGTTTTCCCAGAACTGGGTGCAAGGATGGGGGAGACGGCTGGTGGCAGGATATGTGCAAGGCAAGTCCAAACACAGGTCCAAACACAGGGCAAGTTTCTGTGTCTCCAAAGCCTGAGAGCAGATTTGAGCTGATCCCTCTGTCTCCAGCCATGATCTGCATCCCCAGATGTGCACACGTGGTGTCCTCCATCCAGCCTGCTCTTGAAACCCAGAGGGGTGGCCTGAGCTCGGGGGGTGTGCTGTGTCCTCTGTTACCCCAGGTTTTGCTGTGGAAAGGAGGATGCTGAGGCTTTGGAGGCTTTTGGGCATTCCCAGGGTCAAAACTAGGCAGGGTTCCCTTCCCCTCCAGTTGGCATTTTTGCCCAGGAGAAGCTGTTTTGGGCTGGTTTCAGTCTGTTTTCTTGGTGCCTGCTGGGCTGGCAGGATTTTCTGGGCAGAAGGGATCTGAGTTTATTGGTGCCTCATGATAGTTTCCCTGCATGAAGCTGTCTGCAGGACTGGAACCTACAACCCTTCTCTGCTTCCCAGAGGTCTCTTCAGCCCAGCACAGTTGGATAACAGGTTCATGGAGGCTGGAGACATGAGCTGGGCTTTGCCACACTCCTGTTCCCTCCTCCAAGGTGGTAAAGTCCACTCTGGAGCACAGGAGCCAGCACCACATCTCCTGTCCTGCTGCTGGCTCGTGCCCCGTGGCATTGCCCTTCCTGTGCATGGATTGACCTTTGGCATTAATTACTAATCAGGTTCCAGCCTGAACGTTCAAGCTGCTTTTCAACTGGTTAATCCCCTGACCTGCTGCTTTGCCTCTGCAAGCCCAGGAGGGGAGGAGAAGCCCCTTTGCCCCCCACCCTGCAGCACCACGGGACCACCCATCCCTGGGGCACCCCCTGCCCCGCTGCTGGGAAGGGAGATGGGTTTGGGGTGGTGCCCCTGAGATGCTGCGGTGGAAGGAACCCTCCTTGGGGGTGCCGGTGGCGAGGGGTTGTGGCTGAGCCCGGGCCCGAGCCCGAGCCCGAGCCCTCGCTGGGGACCCGGCGGTGCTGCCTTGCAGTTCGTGGAGGCGGGCACGGGAGGGTGCAAGAGCTTTTCCAAACCCTTCCCCGGGCTCTGCGGGGAGGGGAGGGTGCTGCGGGGTGGCACGGCACTGGCACTGGCCTCACTCACCTCCCTGGGGGTCCTCCCTGGCAGCAGCTAGGAGGAGAATTACCCGGAGCCAGAAACCCTCGGGATGGTTCAAACAGGGATGGGATGTTTTCCTGGGAACCTGACTGGAGCCACCCACACGGGCAGGGATTTTAGGCAGGGATACTGGTGCTGGGGATGCAGGATGCGACCTCGCAGGGGCAGATCCCACCCCTGCCCCCTCCCAGCTCCTCCGCAGCCACCTCGGGTCCCTCGAACTTGCTCCTCCCTTCGCACGGGGCATCCCCATCTCCTCCCCCCGGCCTTCCCCTCCGCCATCCATCCTCATTTCATTATTATTCTAATGACAATTCTGGCTTAATAAGAGGATTTTGCTTAGCTGGGCAGAAGGGCCCCAGCGACGTGGCTTGAAGGACAGAAATCGAATTAGGGTTACCAGGCCGACTCAAACTTCCCTGGTTGTTTCAAAAATCATCCATTTCCTCCTCCGTAGCCTCCAGCTGACCTCTCTTTTTTAATTTTTTAATTTTTTTCCCCCCATTTGCATGCCAGGAAGGGGACCTGCCTCTGTGACCCTCCCGGGGATGGCTCCGGCGGGCGGGGAAGCGGCCGGAGCAGGGCTGAGATTTAGATGAATTCTCCTAATAAAGATGACAAGCCCTATAGAAATTACATTTCGTTAAGGGGAAAAAGAAAAGGACCCGGAGGCATTAGCAAGTGCTAATTGCCGTTATTCCCCGGAGGCAGTGCTGAGGGAGGGGTGAGCCGGCTGGCCAGGCTGTCCTCTGCCTGCACCCGGCTGCTTTTACCCCCAATTTTCATTGGATTTCAAGTGGGCTCCCCAGCCTTGCAGGGATGGCTCCTGATTTTGTCGTTTTATTGAATTTTTCCCCTTTGACCAACAGTTTTTCCCACTCCAGCTGAGCCTGCAGGGTCCTCTGTGCCAGGAGGTCTGTGGGCACGGTGGCACGCCGAGGGCAGGAGGCTGTAAAACACACAGTGGGACCCCAAAGCAGCACTCTCGGGGGTTTACAGAGTGGGGCATCCCTTGGGGCAGGGAGCACAGCCTGATTTGGGGGGCTCTTGCACAGACCAGTGCTGGAAAACGGGCACTTTCAGCTCCAGCCTCACCTCTGAGCTGTGCCAGGCTCCCAGTTTGCTTAGAAGGGATGATCTGATTCCTTTTGGGGCAAGAAGAGCTGGTTTTGTGTCAAGTACAG